GACTTTTCTATAAAAGTAGTTAAATATTTTTTTTAAATTAAATATTATTTTTTATTTTCTTTGAATATTAAAAAAAAAAATTAATTAAAACTATCGAATTTCTAACTTATCTAAAATTTTTTTTATTTTTTTTATTTTTTATATTTTTTTTATTATTTTAATTAATTATTTTAAAAAACTATTATTAAGAAAAACTAAAGTGTAACCTCTTTTTATAATTTTTTTTCTACAATATGAATAAACAAAATAAATAAAGTTTTGAGATATGATTATAAAATCAATTTTATTTTGTTTTTTTATTGTTTTTTATTTATTAACAAAATTTCTAGGGTTTTTATAGTAATACTAAACAAAAAAATAAAGAAGCCATTATTATTTAAAGAGGCATTTAAAATAAAAACAATTTTTATGATTTATTGTGACAAATAAAAATTAAGCTTATCTTATTTTCTTTTAAAACCAATGCATTGCCTTTGATTTAAATATTGAATAAATTATCTATATTTTGAAATGATTATTTCCATTGTAAATATTTTAACACAAATAAATTAAAAAATATTTAAAAAAAAAAAATTTCATTTTCATTTTTATTTTTTTTAATTTTTTTTTTTATTTTATTTTATTTTATTTCATTTTATTTTATTTTATTTTATTTTATTATTTTAATTTTTTTTATTAAAATTCAAATAATTTATATTTCTTTTTAAAACTACAATATAATTTAATAAAGTATAAAATATAAATAAAAGTATATATAATTGTATTAAGAAATAATATGTTAATAAAATATTTATTTTATACATAACCCTCATTAAAAAAAAAAAAAATAATAAAATATTGATTTCCTAATTTGGATTTTCTTAAAAATATATTTAATTTTATTTTTTTTTATTTTTTTTTTATTTTTGTTATTATTTTACCTATATAAAAAACAAATATTTTTAACCCACACACAATCGAGTTTTATATATCAGCTTTTTTCAAATTAATATATACTCAAATTTAGATTAAACAATAAATAATAATGAAATTTATATTAATTATTTTTTTAATTTTTCAAATCTCAATTTTAATAAATAATAATAACAATAATTTTGTAAATTGCGAACTTGCTTTAGAAATGACAGGAATTAACGATATCATAAATAAACACTATAAAGAATATATCGAAAGAAATCCCAATGTTCAACACGAACAAACACCAAATGTCCATCAAGATCCATTCAGAGGCCATGCATGCGACCACGACAAAATGATGGAACAAAGAAATAAAAGAGTTCAAGATAATATTAAAAAACAAAAAGAATTAGAACAAGAAAACAACCACAAATAATCAGATAGTATACTCTTTTCACAAATAATATAAATAAAAAACATAAAATAAAATATTTAAAAAAAAGCTTGTATATATAATGTTTTTTTCATTTATTATTTTTTATAATAAAAAAAAAATAAAAAAATTTAATATTGTTTATTTAGACAAAAATTGGGAATATAATTTAGATTGTCTTAATTCTAAAGCATAGTTAATTAATATGTCTTCTTTTTCGACTTGATTGATCGAGTAGAAAACTTTTAATTCGTCGGATTCGGTATAATGAAGTTGTGAGAACACTTTTTTATCATTTACAAGTGGGATAACTTTAATTTCGTACATTTTAACTGGGTTTTTAATTTGTTTGGCTTCATTCTCGTTCAATTCTTTAGTTGTTTTATAGGAGAATTCTAAATATTCGTAATCTTCGGCTATGAGTGTTTCAACAAAGATATTTAATTTGAAATTGGCGGAACTGCATATGAGTAATCTATATTTGTGGGTTCTTGGAAGATCCTTGGTGATGTGATCTAAAACATTTTGAAGTAATTGATTGGTAAGGTTGAAATTGACATCGGCCATATGATTAGTCCAAAATATTGATTTCTCCAACTCTTTCAAATCTATATACTCTGAGCCAAAAATCTTTCTTGTATTGTGATAACAAATGAAAATACCTGCCATGTGGCCCAATTTAGCTTGTAATGCATATTTGATACCACCCGATCTTGATAAATCCAAATACTCTCTTTCGAAAGAATTATTACAATTAAATAATCTATTGATATGATGTGAAATGAAATTGTTGGTTTCCGAGACATTCATTCTAATTGCATTGGTTGCACGTGTCTTTAAATCGAATGTATTTCTATCCTCTGGTAAATTATCTGAAATGCAATCTATCTGTGATCTATAAATTATCTTATCAAATTTACTGTAAATATATGAATCTGGGAATTCTACTGGGTCACCTGGGTTATTGGATTTTAATATCTTGCTATTAAACTCGTCCTCTGGTAATGTTAACATCTTTTCCATTGAATGTCCTAAATTCATTAAAATAACATTTGACTTTTCTGCATTACCTGAATTGTTATCAATGGACCAAATATTATCTTTAACCGGAATTAAATGAATTGATGATGGTTTTAAAACTGATGGTATGAATGATCCCTAAAATTTAAAAATAAAAATAATAAAAATTAATATCTATTGTTTGTTTGGTGTATAAAAACCATTTATATATAACTAATGAATACTTACAGAAAGATCTGTTAATGATGATGAATACATTGATGATGGTGGTGCTTTACTTTTAGATACAGCCAAATATAAATGTGTTAGAAAAGCAGTAATGGAAGATGTCGATGAAAAGTATGTGCATTTATTTTCTTCGGTAATTTCGATTAACTTTTGATCTTCTGATGGAATCATATAAGTTGAATGCAATTTGATTTCATCGAAATCGTGGATATTTGAAAGGAATGGTGTGAATGCAGGCTTTCCAGAACTATCATTTACAAGATGTAAACCCCTTTGAGTAATAACACGCTCTAAACCATGTTGTAGTTTTGGGATTTTATCGAAATTATATTTTTTGACGACTTCGAGTTTATTTTTGCTAAAGTCTAACTCTTGATAACGGGTCTTGTCAACGGCATATGGGTCTTTTGAAAGTATCATAGCAAATGGCTCTGATGGTGGATAGAATCTGTACTTTAATGCGTTAGAGTCTTTTTCTGGTGTAACTTGGATGGTTTCTAATTTTGTAGTGTCTACATTTGAGATAAATTCTTTAAATTGGTTTAAATATGGTTCAACTTTTTTGGTTTTAACAAGCTCGTATTCATCCAAACTCTTGATTGGTTTGGCTTTAATAACCTCTATAATTTCATTAATTTGATCGATGAAATATTCGAATTTTCTAAAATTTAATACTTTGGTTTTATTGGTTGCCTTTGTATTGTAGAGTGATTTCATTCTTTCTTTTACCATTTCAATTTCTTCTTCTTTTTCTAATTTTGGTAATTTTAGACTCAAATCCCCCAATTCCTTATCAATTGACATAATATTCTTTGCACATTCAAAAACAGAATCTTCTGATTCTGCAACTTTTTCTTTCAATAATTCAACATATTTATTAGCTTCCTTTATTGTACTTGATGATAATTTACTTGATAATGATTGAAAATTTGAAAGTCTCTTATATTTTGTCAATATTCTTTCTACACCCACTATTGAAATATCAAAATGATCTCTATTATCACCACTATTATTATTATTATTACTATTTTGTTGATTTCTATATAAACTGTTTCTATTATAATTATTTTTATTATTGCTATTATTATAACCCATGGATGTTTTTCTATTATTATTATTATTATTACTATTATTATGATAACCACTATTTCTATTATTACCATTACCACTATCGATATCCAATGCTTTTTTAAATTCATTTAGGATGAAATCAGTGGAATCTTTATTATTACTATTTCTAATTTTATTTCTGTCTCCATAACTGCTGAAATTCTTATTAAAACTCTGATTACTATTGCTATTACTTGAATATGATAATGATCTAATACTGCTACCACTTTGTTTTTCAAATAGTTTGCATGTATCTTTTAAAAGACTACATTTTTTTAAAGATAACATTTTTACAAAAAAAAAAAAAAAAAAAAAAAGCGCGGAATTATATATATACAATGATTTTTTTTTTTTTTTCTTTATAAATAAATGTAACTGTATAAAATTATTATTTAAATAATTCTATATCTTTTGTTTGTGGAATTAAACTAAATGATAATGATTTTTTTTTTTTTCGTTTTTTTAAATTTTATTTAATTTTCTTTTCTTTTTTTAATTTTTTTAATTTTTTTTAAATTTTTTTAACCAATTTTTTATAAAAAAAAATAATAAAAAAAAAATAGAAAAAAATAAAAAAAAAATAAAATTTTTTTTTTTTTTTTAAATTTTTTTTTTTTGTTATTTTCATTAATCACAATCATACACACAGCACATAGTAAGTTTCAAAGCACACAATTATTATCATCATAGTTATAAATTGTGATGATCAAATTAGTTTTTTTTGGAAATTAATTATTCCCTTTAATAAACAAATAAAATTCAGAATAAATAATCAAATTAAATTAATAAATAAATAAATAATGAAGAAACATTATAATTTACGAAAAATAATTAACAGTTCACACCTTATCATCCAATTGATATAAATAAATGTTTAATATACATTTATTTAATAATAATCATATTAATTTTAAAATAATAAAATGTTTTGCAATGATCACACAAAAATAAATAAAAAATAAAACAAAAAAAAAATAAAAAAATAAACAAAAAAAAATATGAATTAACATTTTTTAAAATTTTTTTTTTTATAAATAATTATAATTATAATTATTATTATTATAATAATAATAATATAAATAATATATATAGAAATGTCAACTGGTAACGAAAACTACAATTTAAGATATCCAAAAGGTTTCAAAGCCTACCCACACAACCAATACAAATTAGAAGGTTATGGTACCCCAAGAGGTTACGTCACTCTCGCTGGTGTTGCTTTAACTTTAACTGTTAGTGCTCTTTACTTCTCATACGCCCAAACTCAAAGACGTGAATACCCAACCCACACCCCAGAATGGAAAGCTGCTACTGCTGCTTATGGTAAATCAATCAACCAAGATCCAATCCACAAATAAACATGTAATAATTGGTTTTTAGTTATAAAAAAAAAATATATTTATCATACTACAGTAAAAAAACAAACAAAAAAAATTAATAAAAAATAAAAACATATATTTTGTAAGAAAAGTAATAATACAAAAAATAATAACAAAAATAATAATAATAACAACCAACATTATTATAAATCAGATTGTTTTAAAACATAGTATTGGAAATTTAAGAAAGAGTTTATTTTTTTTTTATTTAATTTTTTTTTTATTTAATTTTTTTTCTTAATTTATATTTATTTATAAGCTTTAATGTGATCCATTCTTTCTCTCTTGTTTTTAGATTTAACAGTATTTCTAACACTCATTTTACCACCTTTTTTATTGTTAAGTTGTCTTTTAACTTTATCGGCAATAGCTCTCTTTTTTTCTTCTTCTTTTCTCTTTTTTCTTTCTTCTGGTGTTTCAACATATTGTTCGAAATCACCGTCAACTGGTTCACCTTCAATTTCACCAATTTCTTGGATATATTCTTTTCTTAAAATGATTGGAGCATTATCATCATCTTTTAAGTTTGAAAATCTTTTTAAAAAATTAAAAGTTAATATATAGCCACACATATTTTTTTATTAAAAAATAAAATATAAATAAATACATACTTAAAATCTCTATTTTTATTAAGTGATAAACCATGGAATTCTTCAATGACTTGTTTATTATTTTCAACTGATTCATCGCTATCACTCTCTTCTTCTTCCTCATCACTGGTTTCAATTTCATGATAACCTTCCTCTTGTTCTTGCTCTTGCTCTTCCTCTTCATTATTTTCTTCTTCCTCTTCATTATTTTCTTCTTCATTATTGTTATTATTTTCTTCCTCTTCATCATTATCATTATCATTATCAATATTTTCATCATCACTTAAATCAATTTGCTCTTCTGCTAACTTTTTAAATAAAAAAATTAGAATTAATAATTAATAAAAATAAAAAATTAATAATTAAATAATTATACTTACTTTATCAAAATCTTTTTCTAAATCTCTTGTAAAACCTGAAGCTGCAATTTGAACATCTAAAGAATGAATATTTTGACAATCTGCAAGCTTTGGCCATTTTTGACCAATGAAACCAAATCTTTTTTCAAAGAAAGTACGAATACAATTTACATCACGATCGAAATACATCTCAGCGTTTATATGGCTTGTTGAAACCATTTGTGGGAAATCAATAAGAGTAATTTCTTCTTCGTCACTAATGAGAATGTTAAACTCGTTGAAATCACCATGAATAAGACCATAGTTTGCTAATTTAACCAAAAGATTCATCAAGTCGTTGTATACTTTAGTTGGGTGTCTTAATTCCATAATTTGGGTCATTGGATAACCACGTACTCTTGACATTACAATGGTATGACGATTATAATCGATTGGGGTTGGTACTGGGAAACCATTATCGTGCAATGCTTTCATATATGCAAATTCTTTTAATGCTGCTAAACGTGATAAATATAACCATGATGCTGATTTTCTGTGTTTTAAATAATCTCTATTGTTTTTGATAGTTTTGAAGGATGTTCTACCTAAACGATGTAACTTTAATACCATCTCTTTATTATCTTCGTCTGCTACAATATAGATATCTGATTCTTTACCAACACCAATTTGATTACCAACATAGGCACAAACACCTCTTTGTACCAATGTTTTTAATGCTAAAAAGTCGTATCCTAAATAGGTTAATTTATAACCATCATCTAAAAAAAAAATAAAAAATAAAAGTAACATTAATATTATGATAATTTTAATACAATGCAGTGTGTGTAATAATACTTACATTTTCTGGCATCGTGGAAAAGTAATTTAAACTTGTGTAATGTGGTAATTGACTTTTTAGTACCACCATACTTTAAATTGGCAATTGTGCAAATTAAATTGACTGGGACCAACTCGTGGTTTTTCATACCCATTTCAACAGATACTAAAGTTCTAAAATCATCTTTAGTTAAATATCTTAGATTCTTTGCGTCTAATTTCATTCTTTATTTTATATTTATTAAATAATAATTAAAAAATGAATAAAAACGAAATACTTTTTTTTTTTTTTTTTCTTTTTTTAAATATTATCGTTTTTTTAAAAAAAATTAATTTTTTTTTTAATTTTTAATTTTTTTTTTTTTTAATTTTTTTTATAAAGCTATTTTTCTCAAAACTATAAAACTATGATTGTGTGATTATATGGATGTTATAATAATTAATAATAATTAATGATATTTAGAAATATTCTTTTTTTATTTTTATTTTTTCATTTTTAAAACTAATAATTAGACACAAATTTTTATTATTTATCAAGTTTTAATTAAAATGATAAATGGAATTATTATTAATTAAGAAATTATGCAGTTAATAAACTATACAGGGAAATGAGATAATTTTTGGTTGCTTCATAATTTTGGTTTCGTTTTTTTGGGTTGTTTTGATCTCTATCCAAAAAAAAATTTCCTTCTTGCAAGAAAAAAAATTTTGGATTGGCTTTGATATTTTTTCCCACCCCCTAAATAAATATCATTTTTTTTTTTATATTTACATTTTTTTATTTTTATTTTTTACATTTTTTTATTATTATTATAATATTGATTTTAATATTTCCACTCCTTTTATTTTATTTTTTATAATTATAAATAAAAATAGATTAATTATTTTTCATTTTACGAAAAATAATAAACTGTTTTCATTTTATTTTCGCATTTATCACAAAAATTAGAGTTATAATTCAACAAAAAAAGAAAAATCGTGAGAAAAAAACTTTATGTGCCTCTTTACATCATCAATATAACAACAAAAGTTTTAAAAAAATGAGTTGACTGAAATATTTTAATAAAAATCTATTTTTTGATTTTTTTTAATTTTTTTTTTTTAAAAAAAAAATAATTTTATATTTTTTTTTTTTTTTTTATAAAAAATAAATAAATTTTGTTTCCTATATTCCTAACTGAAACTCATTCCTACATCCTTATATTTTTTATTCAATTTTTAAATAAAAAGTTTCGTATAAATAAATAATATATTTTGTAATATATAAAATTTATATTTTTCTTTTCAATTATTCATAACCAATTATTTTTGTAAATTTACTTGTTAATCAAAAAAAAAATAAAATAAAAAAAAAATAAAAAAGGAAGGAAATTTAAAAAAATAAAAATGGGTAAAGAAGAAACAGAAGCATTGGTTTCGTAAGTGTTTTTTAAAAATAATAAAACAGTTAATGAAATAAAAAACAGAAATAGGAACACACACCAAAATTTTTATTTTTATTTTTATTTTTTTAAAAAATTTGAGCGCTCCGCCCTATTTTTTTGTTTTTTATATAATTTTAATTTTGTTTTATTTAGATCATTAAATAAATAAATAAATAGCTAATATCATATTATATTTATACTAGGAAACAAAAAGAAGAAAAGGGTGAAACTTCAAAAACAGTAGCATTTATATTAATTGGGGGTTTAACAGCAATATATGTCGTTGCAGAGTTGGGTGTTGCTATTTACACAAATTCATTAACATTACTTTCAGATGGTTTTCATAATCTTTCAGATGTAGTATCACTTTATATTGCCTGGTGGGCAGCTAAGGCAGCCAAGCGTGATTCAGATAATTTAATGTCTTATGGTTGGGCTCGTACAGAATTATTGGGTGGTTTAACAAATGGTATTTTCCTTCTTTCAATGTGTCTTTATGTCGCCTTAGAATCAATTCCTCGTTTCATAGAGCCAGCTGAACTCGAATTAAAGGGTCAATATCACGGTTATATCTTTATGATTGTTGCTGCTGCCGGTTTATTTATTAATATTTTAGGCACAATTGTTTTCGCTCTTACTGGTATGGCCCATGCTCATTCACACGGTGGTGGTGGTGGCCATTCACACGGTGGTGGTCATTCACATGGTGAAGAAAAGAAAAAAGAAAAGCATGGTCATTCACATGGAGGTGAAAAGAAAAAAGAAAAGCATGGCCATTCACATGGCGGTGAAAAGAAAAAAGAAAAGCATGGTCATGCTCATAGTGGTGAGGGAAAGGTTGATACAGTTATCAGTATAGGTAGAGATGAAGAAGAATATCAAGATGACCATGGTCACTCACACAATCATAAGGATCACCATGATCATGATGACGATCATCACGGTCATTCACATGAAGAAAGCAAAGAAAAAAAACACGGTCATGGCCATTCACACAATCACGAAGATCACCATGATCATGATGATGATCATCACGGCCATTCTCATGGCGGCGAAACTCCAAAGAAAGAAAAGCATGGCCATTCTCATGATGGCGGTGAAAAGAAAAAGAAGAGCGGAAGAAAAGGTACATGTGGTATGGATTACAATATGTTTGGTGTATTCATTCACTTTTTAGGTGATGCAGTTTCATCTTTATTTGTTTTAGTTACAGGTATTATTATTCAATACACCCATGGTTCATGGACTAAATATATCGATCCAAGTGTTAGTTTAATTATTGTTATTATGATCGCTCTCACATCTTTCCCATTAGTCAAAAGATGTTCAATGATCCTTTTACAAAAAGTACCCGACGAAATCGATCTTGAAAGTATCCGTAGAAAAATGTCAAAGGTCCAAGGTGTAGTTTCTCATCATGATTTGCATGTTTGGCAATTGGTTGATGGTATGACAATCGCCTCAGTTCATGTTGGTGTTATGGAGGGTTCAAACTTTGATGAAATTGCATCAAGTCTAAAAAAAATTTTCCACAAAGAAGGTATTCATTCAACTTCAATTCAACCAGAGTTTATTAAACCAACAGCTACAAAGGTCGATTTTTGTGCTCAAAACTGTATCGAGGAATGTGAAGAGGAATGGTGTTGTAAGAAAAGTGCTGATAAAATGGTTAAATTAAGAAAATTAGGCAAATATTCAGAACACGAAATTAATTAATTAATTAATTAGTTAATTAATTTAATAATAATAATCATATATTTATAATATTTAATAATTTTTTTTTTATTTTAATTTTTTAATTTTATTATTTTTAATATAAAAAAAAAAAAAAAAAAAAAACCTACATAAACTATAAAAAAATCAATTAAAAATAACAAAAAAAGATTTAATTGTATAATTAATAAAATTCTAATTTGTTTTACATTTTTTAAAAAAAATATATATTTATTATATATATTTTTTTCTTAATGTTTTTCCATATTTAAAAAAAATCTAATTTTGATTTTGGACTTTGTTAGTTTCTAAAATTATTTTCTTGATATACTGCAAACTTTTAAAATAAAAAATAAATTTTTTTTCTTCAATTAAATTACCATTTATAAAATAGCAATCAAAGAGACAATATATGATTTAATAGAAGCTTTATGTAAAGTTTATAATAAAAGTGAAAATGACTGTTTTATTTGTAATTTTTTTATTTTATCAACAAAAATTAATATAATAAATAAAAAAATTTGGGAAAAAATTGTAAAATAAAATTTTAATCCCATAATAAAACCAAAATTTAACAAATCGATTGCTAAAAAATTCAAATCCAAATTATTTTTTCAAGAATTCCTTACAGACAGATTTAAAAATTTTATTTAATAAAATACTGTCTCTTACAATAATAATATAAATTATATAATTAATTAATTCCTTAAAAATAAAAATAAAAAAAAAAAAAAAACTGAAAAAAACTTGTATTTATAAATTAAGATATTTTTTTTTGTTCCACTCAAAAATTCAAAAAAAAAAAAGATTTTATAAAAATTTTTTTTTAAATATAAACCATTTTTTTTATTTTTTTTTATTTTATTTAAAAAAAAAAAAGAAATGAAATTATTACTTGTATTACTTTTTATTTCTTTCAACTATTCATTTGGTGAAAAACAATTTATAAATTTCCTTCCATATAGAACTCAGTGCAGTGGTAATCCATATGGAGTTGGTATATCAATTGTTGCAAGTAAGTGGAAATAAAAACAAAAAATATTGATATTGATATTGATGTATTTTTATTAATTATTAAATTTATTAGATAAATGTTTAAATGATGTTGAATATTTTGTTGATGGCTACAAATATAACTCTTATTTTGCATATAGCCAAACCGATTCAAATAATGCAACAACAGTTTATTTAACATCGTATGGACAAAGAAATTGTTCAGGTCCAGAGGGACAAACATCGTATTTTGAAATTAACACATGTGATAACTCACCACCAATGGCTCAACCAAAATATTCACCATATTCATATGTTACAGTCACAAATAAACCATCATTCTCAGATAACAGTGTTGTTAATGCAGTTTATTCAAATGACCAAGATTCCTCCTCCTCTGATAATAGTGGTTCTCCAGTATGCAATAATGACAATTTCTTATTCGCAACATCTATGACTGATGGATTTGAAATCGAATTACAAAGTGGTGTTGTGGATACCTTCAGTTGTAAAAATGGACAACCATTTTTAAATTCTTGCTTTAAAAGCGATTGCAATAACGGCACTATTGCACTTTCATGTTCACCAAGCCTAAGCGAATCCACAAGTCAGTCTTATTTCTGTTCAAAATAATAGTAATAATTAAACATTGAAATAAATAATTATTAATTAAATTTTAATACATATATATTAATTTATTTAAAAAGAAAACGTCTGCCCAATTGAACAATAGCTTCAATTTTGACTGGACCAACAACAACTCTAATATTATGATCATCAAAAGTACATTAGTTTGTAAATTAGTTTTTTAATATTTTTTTATTTTAAATTTCCTTGGGTTTGATTCATTATGTTTATAAATTAATTTTTAATAAAATATTAATTAATAGATTGAAATTATGGCGTGACTACTTGATAGAATTTAAATATGACTTTTATTTTCTTTTTTCCAATTAATATGTAAAAATAAGGTCTTATTAATTGACAATTGTCTTGTAAAAAAACATCATCAGTAAGAATATTCATATAGATATATTCATTAACAAAAATCCCCTATTTTCCAATTTTCAACTTTCCAAGCTTAATATTTTTACCCACCTGAGTCTTTGAGACTTGGATTTTAACCAATAAGGAAATGTATTAATGTTTGAATTTTTTAAAAAATTATTAGTTTGTAAAGCCCACAAATTGAAATTTTTTTTTACATAAATTATGACATTATAAAATCTTCTATATTATTTTCCAATTCGTTGTTTCATCTTTCTTCTTACAGGTATTGTATTTGATTCAATTGTTTAAAATCCCCAATATTAGCTGTAGAGTTTTGCACACTCCAATTATCCTGAAGAAAGAGTTTTTATAGTCATTTTTTATGAATATTCTTTCCTATTTGTTTTCTAACAAAATTTTAAAATTGAATATTTAACAAATTAGACCCTTTAAAAAAATTTTTATTTAACAATAAAAAAAAATAAACCCGTTTAAGTTTATTCACTTCAAATTGTAATGATAAGGTATAAGAAAATGACTTATTTACACAACTAAAATGCTTAACGAAAATATAATTAACACAAATTATATTCTTACCGAGAATAAATAAAATATATAAACACGTACTAAATAATTAACAAAAAAATACTTAAATTAAAGACACTCAAACAATTATAAGAATGTGAATAAACACCAAAATATATCTTATATTATCTTTATTATTTATATTTAATACTTAAATAAAACACACAAATAAATAATATAATAAGTTAATAATAAAATATTAATATTATTTATAAATAATTTAATTTATGTAACAAAGAAAGATATTTATCACCTTTAAAGATGGTTTTTTTGTATTAATTGCTAATCACGAATTTTTGACTTACCCTTTCAATAAGAATGGTGCAAAGGTTAACACGACTTTTATTAATTTATTTTTAAAATAATTTTTAGTACAAAAAATGAAATTTAATTATTATTTAATTTTTGTTATTTAATTTTTTTATAAAGATGGTTAGATCTATACTTTATTAAATTGTAGTATATGACCCCCATAAGGTTTGAACATATAAAGTAGGAGTTCAAATTAATAGTATAAATTAAGAAATTTCCCTTTTGCTAAGTTGGTCACCTCACGCCTTATTTGTGCATAGTGCACTTTATTACATTTTGGCGACAGCTTCGGTTCGATCCTTGGAGGGTGCAGGTTGAAAGGGTTCCCTGACCCATTCCAAAAATTAGTTAGATAGTTATCTTTAAAGGGTGAGGTAAATGTAGTATATGACCCCCATAAGTTTTGAACATATAAAGTAGGAGTTCAAATTAATAGTATAAATTAAGAAATTTCCCTTTTGCTAAGTTGGTCACCTCACGCCTTATTTGTGCATAGTGCACTTTATTACAAAATCTCATCAAAATGCCCAGATAGCTCAGTCGGTAGAGCGCAAGGCTTTTAACCTTGTGGTCGGGGGTTCGAGCCCCCCTTTGGGCGAAACTTTTTTAAATTTTAATAATTTTAGTCACCGGGAAGATTTTTTTTTTTTTTTTTTTTTTTTTTTTTTTTTTTTTTTTGGAATGTTGGAGGTACGTCCTGTAGGTAGCCCTGGGGAGAAGTGATGGGGGAGTAATGATGGAATATGTAGTGTAGAATTTACTGATTAGTTTAAAGCATATTAATAATCTTCACTTTTAAAAAAAAAAAAAAATGCAATGCAGATAATATAGCTTTAGTTACAGAAAATAATAAACCAAAGGAGACATTAATGTCGAACTAAATGATAGGGTTCAAAAAAATAGAAAATAGTATTAGAATTTGTTATAGAAAATTTAAATTATATATATATATTTTTCGAACATTTTTGTCTTGACCTTGAAAAATCCCAGTATCATAAAATATATTTTGTTTATAATAATGCCGGATGGTTCTGATATTGAAAAAATGTGAGTATTGGATGATAAAATAAAAAATGAAGAAGAAGAGGATAAATAGAAGTAAATTAAATTATTTTTTTAATTTTTTTATTTAAAAGTTTATAAAACTTTTCTTTTTTATTATTAATTTTTATAGTTTTAAATTTTGATATTCTCCCAGAATTACTGATGGATTCTCATTCCTGATATTTTTTACATAATCAGAAGACTTTCCTAATTATATTTAATTTAGGCGCCTTTTTTTTTTTTTTTTTTTAATTTTAAAAATTTTATTTTAAATTTTAAAATTTTTTTTTTTATATTATTTATTTCTATTTAATATTATTATATGATTATTATTAAAAAGAAACATGAATTTTCAAAAAAATGAAGATTCCTCACAAAGTAATATGATTGTCACTGTAAGGTAAATTATAAATAATTAAATATATTTAACGATTTTCAAATTATTAATAGTTTTTTATTTTTATTTAATCAAATATAGAATTAGACCAGAGTCAGAAGAAGAAATTTTAAATCAAAAATGTAAAAATATAATAAAAATAGTTGATGAAAATACATTAATATTTGACCCCAACGAAACAGATTTTTATAAAAGCAGTAGTAATAAATCGGCATTCAGTAATAATGGCAGTAATAACGAACAAAGATATATATTTGACAGAATTTTTGATCAGTTTAGTACTCAACAAGAAGTTTTTGAAAATACAACAAAGAAATTAATAAATTATGTATTGGAGGGTAATTATAATGCATCTGTTTTTGCTTATGGTGCAACCAATGCAGGTAAAACCCATACAATGGTTGGAAATGATCATAGTGGTCCAGGAATAATGGTGTTGACAATGAAAGAATTATTCGAATCGATAGAAAAAGATAGCGAAAAGGTATACACCATATCAATGTCTTATTTAGAAGTATACAATGAAACTATTAGGGATTTGTTTGTTACCGATAGTAAATCATTAGAACTTAGAGAGGATTCAAATAAAAGTGTTGTGGTTAGAGATCTAACCGAAAGATTTCCAAATAATGCAAATGATGTATTAAAGTTATTAGAATTTGGTAATTCCAATAGAAAGCAATCTCCTACTCAAGTAAATCAAACCTCATCAAGATCACATGCTGTTTTACAAATTTTTATAAAGCAAAAACAAGAGCATGGGCCATCCATTGATTCAAAATTAACTTTAATCGATTTGGCTGGTAGTGAGAGGGCATCAAAAACATTAAATACTGGAAAAAGATTGGTAGAAGGTGCAAATATTAATAAATCTTTGTTAGCATTGGGTAACTGTATTAATGCTCTAGCTGAAGCTACATTTAGAAAACCAAATGGTCCAAAAAAAGAAGTCTATATACCCTATCGTGACTCAAAATTAACTAGGATTTTAAAAGATTCTCTTGGTGGTAATTGTAAAACTGTAATGATTGCAAATATAAGTCCAAATTCTTCATCATATGACGATAGTCATAATACTTTAAAGTATGCTAGTCGTGCAAAAACTATAAAGACGCAAATGGTCAAAAATTTAAATATAACGTCTCATTCTTCACAATATATAGAAATTATTAAAGAATTAAAAGAAGAAATTAGACAATTAAAATTAAAATTATTAAAAAATAATAATAATATTAATAATAATAATAATAATAATAATAATAATAATAATATAAATAATATAAATAATATAAATAATATAAACAAAGAAACAATAAAATCAATAATACAAGCACCACAGTTACAACAAGAAAAAGAAGATATTAATAATGATGATGATGAGAAAACTTTAAAAGAATTGGAAGATATGACAGGTTTAATAAATCAAAATTTAAATGAAACATTATCATTAAAGAAGTCATTAAGCTTACAGAGATCAAAATTCCGGGATTTAGAAGAAGAATTAAAACAAAAACAAAAACAGTTAGAAATCATTAAAAGTGAAAATGGTGATAGCAATATTAGTATTTCGCAAGTAAATCAATCAATTAAAGATATTTCAAATCAAATTACACAAATTAAAATAATAGAGATGAATATTAATGATAAATTAGATAAAAATGATCAATGGAGAAGGAAAAATCAATTAGAATTGCCCACCCTATTTCGTCATTCACCAAGAAATCAAAAAATTTTAATTCAACAAGCAAGAGCTGCAACTTTAGAATTGGATAGGTTTGATTTAAATGAAAGAATCCTCGAACAAAATTATGAATCTAAAATTCAAGTATCTGAAACCACAAATTTAAAATCATCTTTAGGTTGGATGTTTGGAGTTTTATCAGATTGTTTCAAAGTTTTAACTGAAAATAATTTAGCAACCGATCAATTTTTAAAAGATTTTTTAAAATCTGATGAATTATTAAATAGTTATAATATAGTTGTAAATAATAATAACAATAATAATAATTCTTTAGATAATAATATCAATAGTAATAATTGTATAATAGAAAGTGATAAAAATATAATAAATAAAACTGAAATGAATAATAGCGATAATAATATTAGTATTGATTTTAATAACCATCAAAATAATAATAATAAATTAATATTAAAAAAAGTAATAAATACACCAACCCAAGTTTTACCATCTCCAGTACAAATTAAAAGATCAAATACAACAAATAGTATTATTAGCACACCAGTTTCAAATGGCACTAAGGTTATTGTTAAAAAGACACCAGTTTCATCAAATGAACAGAAGAAAGATGAATTTTTAAAACCATCACCACCAAAACAAAAAATTTTAAATGTAAATATAACAACAGGTCAAAATACAATATCAACAACTCCATTACCAATAAAATCAACAATAGCGAATAGTTCTATTTCAGTACCAATAACATCAGCGACCAATACACCAAATACAATAAACAATAACCCATTACAATCACCCCCATCATCAATTTCAAGTTTAACAAGAAAGAGACTATTAGAGTTTACTACAAATGAAAATACAGATTCTAATCCGAGAGCTAAGAAAACAAATGTTTCACCAACATTAAACAAAATCAATAACAGTGGTATTGTAAAACAGCTTTCCTCCTCACCACTTATTTCACAGCAAAAATTCAAACCACAACCAACACTAAAATTAGCTCCAAATATAACAACATTTAGTCATACTCAAACAACCAATTCTATTCTAACACCAGCACCAATTCCAACACCAAACCCATTAAATAATACCTTAATAATGAACTCTACAATTAAACCATTCATAGAACCTGTTAAATCTATATCCTTTGCACCAACCTCGACCACATCTTTACAGGATTTAAAAGCAAAATTAGATAGTTTATCACAGTTAAATATTTATAGTAATTCTAATATGAATAATAATAACAATAATAATGATATAGACGATTTAAATAACGTCACTGTGATGTCCTCAATTGCTCCTAATAATAATGACCTTAAAGCAAAATTGGATAGTTTATCTTTATTAAGCCAACAATCTTTTAAAAATCCTATAATCTCTTCAAAAACAAATACTATAAATACCAATACGAATAATATTGACTATAGATTACTATCAAATGAAACTTTAAAATTAAATAGTAAAATTTCAAATCTTTCATCAATAGATAACAGCACCAAATCAACATTTTCACCATTATCACAACAGCAACCATCAACAATAATATCATCAACCCCAACTAGAATGTTTTCAAAGCCATTAATTAATAAATCATCTTCAAGTTCAAATCTTTCAAATCTACGTAAACTAACACCGTCAAGATCTCCTTTCTCATTAAAAGAGAATAAAGAATCTGTGGCAAATAGCAGTGGTATTCCAATTGTTAAAAAAACAACATTAATATCTACCAATAGAGCACCTTCAACATTACTCTCAAAAACTGTAAATAACCCAAAAAAAAACTTTTAAATAAAAACCGAGTAATAAACTTTTTTTTTTTTTTTTACCAAAAGGATATGTTTTTTTAAAAGTGAAGATGATTTTTAATATTGAGTCATATTTGTTTTTTGTTTTGTTTTTTGGTATGTGTATATATGAGTTTACAAAACTGCATCAAAGTTTTGCACTGGTGAAAGATGTAACATAGATGCAGTTATTTAATGCATTTGGGTATTGATTAAAACTTTAAATTTTTTTTTTTTTTTTTTTTTTAAAAGTGGAGATGATTCTTAATGATGCATTAAGTCATCAGTTTGTTTATTGTGTTTGTTTTTGTTTGGTATGTGTTTAATACTTATATGAGTTTTACCACACTGCATACAAGTTGGGCACGGTAACGTCAATTCATGTGTGATTCGGAAAATCTGCCCAGTCGACTAGGTTTCGAACCCGGAGCGGTAACTTGTAGGAAATTCGTTCGACCACTTGGCTATCATTGCTCCCCCAATTTAAAATTAATTTACAAAAAAATAACGCATCCCAATCTCCCAGAAGATATGGGGATTTATCAAAAAGAATTGCTCGATGCAGGGATCGAACCTGCGACCGTGGCGTTATTAGCACCACGCTCTGCCGACTGAGCTAATCGAGCAAGCGATGAGATATGTTTCTTATTAATTAATGTAACCTTTTTTTGAATATTATTTTAATGAACTCTAATTAAAAATTTAAAATCCCAATGACTAATTATAAAAAATCCCATTTCTAATCAACATTATAACTTGAATATAATTAATACTAGTTTATTTATTTTAAAAAAAATTTTAAATTATTTTTTTGAATTATTTAATTTTAAATATTGTTTTTACTATTTTCAATTATAATTGAATACTTAAGGTTATCTGATAGAAATTATTATTGCCCTTTTTGAAATCTGAAACTAAGTTAAAATGATAATTTTCATATATGAATTAAGTTTTAATTATATTGAAAATTAGTTTAAAAAAGGTTTTAATTTAGCTTATGAGTTGGTATATGTTTGTTACTATTATCTATTATTTTGAATTTATAAAATATGTGTCTATTAAAAAAATAAAAAAAATAAAAATAAAAATTATATAAAAAATGAAAAAAAAATAAAAATAAAAATAAAAATAAAAATAAAAATAAAAATAAAAATTTATATTTTTTCATTTTTTTTTTTTAATTTTTTTTTTTATTTTCATTTTAAAATCATATTAACAACAAACATTATAAAAATGAATTCTAAAGAAAAAGAAAATAGAGCAATTTATACAGGACTATATAGAAATAATAAAACCAATTTAAAGATTTCACTTGGTTTATGTTATATTGGTGTTGGCACTGAAATATTTAAAATTCTATACCACAAAAAAATTGTAACTACATTAGTATCAACTATGGGTTGCTCATTCTTTCTTGGTACTTTATATTTTTACCACAAAATTACACCAAATCAACTTATTAAATTTGTACCAACAAAAGATGAAGAAGAATCTCAAGTAAAAACCGAAACAACTATAACATCCGATGACGAATCTGACCAAAGCGACGATGAAAGTGATGATGAAGAAATAGAAATTACTGAAGAAGAAGATCACAATTTATCTTTACCAAATAAAAGACCAACATTCAATTATTTAAGATACTATAAATCTTTAGGCTATGGTGCATTAGGTGGTGTTATTGGAAACCTTATCGCAACTGCCGGTTTAGCAATCACATATGACTTGGACGTAGCAACAGAATGGAATAGAGATTTCTATTTAGAAATTTTTTCATATATCTCTGGTACCACCCTTCATAATGCCGTTGTATTTTTATTATTAGATTCAGCAATGAAAACCAAATTTTTCATGTTTGAAAAAAAGAAAATTTTAAATAACCTTAAATAAATAAATAAATAAATTAAAAAATAAATAAAAAATAAATAAATAAAGGTATTCTTTTCAAAGTTTCTAATATTAATATTTAAATAGAACTAAACTTTCTTTTATTTTTATTATTTTTGTTTTTATTATTATTATTATTATTATTATTATTATTATTATTATTATTATTATTATTATTATTATTATTATTATTATTATTATAAAATAAAATAAAATCTAAATTTGGTTTAAAATTAAATGTATTTATATTAAACCAATTTATATCATCTATATTTATATTTTCATAATATGTTAAATTAATATTTTTGAATGGATGCTTTGAAATTTTAATTGATTTTAAATTTTTAATGTGATTTAAATTATTTGAACTGGCTTTTAAGATATTTGTTATAACTTTTTTAGGTTGGTTAGATTCTAAACCACCACCTGGTGAAATGAAATGAATTGTTTTTAAATTAACGGCATTCTTGAATAGTTTTAATAGCTTGTCAAAATATTCAAAAGAGTTGTCATATGATTTAAATTCTAAAATTAAATCTTCTAAACATTCCATGTTTGCACTATGTGGATTGATTCTTTCTTCCTGATTATTATTATTATTATTATTGTTTTCTGGGTCAAAATACAACAAGTCATATGGATTCTGCAAGTAGTTGAATAATGTTGTTTCTTCTATATCCTCTTTCCAAGGTTCAATTTCTAAAGTTAGGTATTTCATTTTTGGTAATACTTGAGATAAGAAATCAATGTCGAAAAATTGACCAATTGAAACTTGACACCCTATTTCGATGTTACCACTACTACCAGTTGCTAGATCTAATAATTTGTAATTAAAATTTTGATCTTCTTCTTCAGTGTCGATTAAACAAGTTATTTTTAAAAGTTTTAAATTCCTTGATAGCTTTATTAATTGACTATTGAATTGATTAACTAAACTTAATTTGCTTTTTAATATTACTTTTTCAAAGTTTGGACTATAGATTAACCAGTTCAACAGCTCTTGATTAAGCTCGCCGCATAGATCTATTGCTCTTAAATTTGGGTATCTATATAAATATCTCCAAGGAAAGAAGCTTTCGACTATATTAATTCTTTGAAAATAGCTTTGAAGGTAATCTGCATTTTCGATAATTCTCGAGCAATAATGTTTGATGAATGAAACTTTGTTTGTGGACCACAGTGAGTACCTGTTGTTTGTGCCGTGATGAAACGATAAATTGGTGACATCAATGGGATACTCTATTGATTGATTGATCTCATTAGACACAACTAAAAAGAAATCTTTGCAAACCAATGACAACATTAATTTATAGTAGTTTGATGTAGTGGAGTTGTTTATCAAAACTTTAATAATGTGGTGTATGATTTCCTGTGGTAGTTGACCTAATAAAGTTACAGTTAATTCACTCTCCTCTAACAACCTTTCTTGTTGATCGATTTTTAGTTTCTCTTTATAAATGGTTGATGATACTATCTGATCTTTAAAATCTTGAATTACCAATAACTCTCGTTGAATAACAGATATATCCAGTTCTGACAATAAATAGTTTAGTTTACTTTTTAAAAACTTTTTCTTAATTGGATATTGATTGATTTTATGTACTAATGGTTCTATGAATGACTCTACTGTTTTAAATTGTTTTAACTGATCGAAAAACTCTATATATAATGATTTCAAAAACTTTTTTTCTTGTTTTTCTGTAAAGTGCTCTTCTATTTTAAAAATTGATTCCATTGAGCTATAAAAGGGGAACTTTCTAATTTCGATTAAACTATGTTGATTTTCGTATAAATCTCTTTCTTTTCTTTTGTTTAATATTTTTTTAATTAAATATATAATATTACTATTGTTGTTGCCACTATTATTACTATTGCTATTTGTTGAAAATAATTTAACTAATGGTATCCATAAATCAAATTCTACAATTGAAAAAATATATGTAAAATATTCATTATATATACCGATTTGAATAGATTCTATAAATTCTTTAAATTTGAATAAATCGAAACGACACTTTGATAATAATGAATTTGCAATGGGTGTTAAAATTTGAAAATCGATTAATTCTCTGTTTCCAAACAACTGTTTTTCAATTTTAATTGCATCTTGAATTTGTTTTTTAAATTTAATTTGATACCATTTGCCACACTGAATAATTTCGAAAAAGTAAATAAACTTTAATACCAAAGAGCTCTTTTCTTCTGAATCACCCATAATTATATTTTCATCCTTGTCTATAATTTCGAAAATATTTAAAATTTCTAATAGCTCATTAAATAATAGTGATTGTGATTCCCTAACTACTTCATCTTCAGTTGGTTCTAATTTTTCATAAATTTTATTAAAATATTTTAAAATTTCATTTTTATATTTATTTAACCCATCATCATTATTATTCAAATTGCTCCCTAATAAAACAATAATTTTTAAACCAACTATGCCCTGTTCTGAAAATTCAAATTCTTTATTTAATATAAACTTTATTATTATTTCACTTGTTTCCTGTAATATTGAGAGATGAAAGAGTCAGTTGATTAGTATTGGTTTTAAATATAAATATTATATATTATAATCTAAGAATGATATTTCGTACCTGTGTTACTTTATTTGTTGGTATTGACTCTAGTGTCTTTTTTAGATGAATTAATTTATTTTCCAAATAATTTAATAATAATATTTGTAATTCTTCATTATTATTTTCATAATTTAATTGATAATAATTTGGTATAATTTTAAAAAAAAAAGCTTCATGTGATTTGTTTCTATAATAGAGATAAACATTTAAACGTTAATAAATCAGTTATAATTTATAATATGGTGATTGATGTGTAGTATATATACTCTTTTAATGAAATTATTTCCTCTTTAGTTAAATAAAGATGTGGTATATATAAATTTGATAAAATTGGGGTTAAAATATCTTTTTTTGAACTTTCATTATTGTGCTGATGTTGCTGTTGTTCATTTTGATGGTCTGTAACTTGATCATCATCATCTTCTATATTGTTATTGGAGCCATTATTTAGCCTTTGGTGCAATTGTTGCTGAATTATTGTATGTTCATCTTCGATTTCAAATTCATATTCCATAATAATAAATATAGTTAGGAACTGTATATATATGAATAAATTAAAACGAAAAAATTATTTTAAAAATTAAAAAATAAAAAATAAAAAAAAAAAATAAAAAAAATAAAAAATTTAAAAAAATTAATTTTTGAATATTTTTTTTATTTTTTTCAACAAGTAAACATTTATTTTTTTTTTTTTTTTCTTTTTTTCCTTCTTTGATTTCATTTTTTTTTTATATTTTATGAAATATTATATATATATATTTAAATTAACCATTATATAACAACTATTATTATTATTATTAATATTATTCATATTATAAATTAAATTAAATTATTAAAATTTTAAATTATTAAATATGGGTTTTTTAATGTATTATTATTTTTAGTGTAATAAAGCAAACAAAAAATAAAAGAAAAAAAGAAAAAAAACAAAGTGAATTAAAAAGAGTATACAGTTAAATAGTACAACTAGATATAGCGCCACAGTAATCCAATGCAGGTAAAAAAGCAGCAAGAATAAGAACTGAAAACCAACCCAAATTTTCAATACCAATAGTAACCCTATTTGAAACGTGAAACCAACATCGAGCTCATCCGGACCTCCAAACCACTTTGTTAGGGACCTCAGCAGTCAACAGTGCCTCCTTCATTTCAACCTCTTGATGGTTTTTTACTCTTGAATCCTTCAAGCCAGAACATCTATCAACAAACTTAACTTGGCCACTTCCTAATCCAAAGAACAAGCCTTTTTTTACTTCGTTTAACGTCCTTTTCCCTTTCATTTCCCTCCGGTACAACCAGAATAGAAGACTTTATATAAAAATAGCAAGTTAAAATAACTGTAATTAATAATTAATAAATAAATAAAAAATAAATAAAAATAGTTTAGTTTTAAAACATATTATTATTATTAATACTATTATTAATAAAAATTTAATTTTAATTTAATTATAATTTGAATAATCTAATTGAAATTAAATATGTGCACACCATATATAATATTTCTTGTAAAGTTTGAAAAAAAAATGAAATAAAGAAGGAAAAAAAAAATCTTTTTATTTTTTAAAACTATTATTTTTTAAAATATATAAAAAAATATAAAATATATATAAAAAAAAAAAGAATTCCATACTACCCTCTTCCCATATAGAAAAAGATAAATATTATATTTTAAAATGGAATGATTTTAAAATAAAAAGGTAATATAAAAAATAAAGATTATTATATAGAGTTAATCACTCTATAAAAAATAAAAGTTTTATTATTTTATATTATCTACTTTTTATTTTTATATATAATTTCATTTTAAATATTGTGAATGTAATATTTAGCTTTGAAACTATATGGTACTATGAATAGTATTTTTGAATTGAATAATTGAAACAAAAAAAAAAGTATTTATACTTTTTTTATTTTTGAACTTTGAAAAAAAAAAAATAAAAAAAAATAAAAAAACAACAATTTTCAAGTACATAATCTAAGATGATGGTGAGTATATAAAGAAAAGAAAAAATTACCTTATCTGTAAGATAAAAATAAAAGGACGTTAAAATATTGTCAATTTATTCTAATAGGGAATCTGAAGAAATTGTAGGCAATAATAAATAAATTTTAATAAAAACAGGGGGTTAAGAGAGATGGAAGGAGTATCTTTTTTATCATATTTAGTGGTAAGTAATCTTATCTATACAAACTACATCCTCTACACAAATGACAGGGATAACAAAGACACTAGTATCGCATCAAATCATTGGGTAATTACAAAAACAACTAATTTATTAGAAAGAGTATTTTAACTTCACCCCTTTAATTATTTATTATTTATTTATTTTTTTTATTTATTTTCTCCCCCCACTACTATTATTTTTATTTTTTTAAATTTTTTATTTATATACCACCATTCATTTGCCATTCAAATAAACCTCCATCCCTCATTTTTTTTTATCTTCTTTATTTAGATTAAATTTTATTTTTGGAAAAATACCAACCAATTGAAACCAACTTAAATTATTGTTATTTTTATTATACAATCAAATAATATAATTTATACAAATTATAAGCTTATAATTTTATTTATTTTTTAATTTATTTAAAAAAATAAAAAATAGTAGGAAAGTTCTTTCATATTAATAATTATATTTAATCATAAAAATTCATAAATTAATAAAAAAAAAAACACTCGATTTTTGAAGCATAATTTACATTATTTTTTTTATTTATTTTTATTTTTTTTATATTAAATTTGCGGCCTTTTTATTTATAAACCTCTCATGAAATCCCAACATTAATATTTATAAAACAAAATTTATATTATTTATAAAAAAATTAAATATAAAAATATTTTTGATCAAAATTAATACCAAAAAATTTAAAAACTTAAATTTTCAAAAATCTAAAATTTAAAAAAAAATTAAAAAAAAAAATTTTAAAAAAAAAATAAAAAAAATAAAATATGAGGTATTTTTGCAAAGGATATTACATATGATTAAATTGTAACCCTTGATTAAAATCCCTTTTGAAAGCTCAAAAAAATTTAAAAAAGACAACTTGAGGAAACTAAAAAAAATTTTATTTAAAAACTAAAAAAAAAAATTTCAAATTTAATCTTTTTTAAAATTAATCTATTATTAACTTTTTATTATTATTTTTTTATTATTTTATTATTTATAAATAATAAATATTTTATAAAAAATAAATGGTTGTGGAGTTTTCGGGGCAATTAAGAACCCTGCTTAAAAAAAATTTTCTTATAAAAAGGAAGAATAAGTGTGGTATTTGTTGTGAAATAGTGTTCCCAATTGTAATAGTACTCATCATTTTTGCTTTATTAGGTATGATTATTTTCAAAAATATTTTATTAATTTTTTTAATTTAATTTAATTTAATTTAATTAATTAATAATTTTTTATTTATTTTTTTTCATTTGTTTTAAAATCTCCACATATAACAATAGGTTTAATTAGTGCTGTTAAACCAAATTATGATTCATATGATGTTTCAGATATTTTAACAAATAAATTAAATAATAATACAATATTATTGTATGGTGCACCTGAAACATTAAATGTTGAACAACAAGGTGTCATTAATATAATTAAACAACAAGTAGAACAATCAAGAAAATTGCAACCAAATGTAGTAGATTCATTCTTTTTAGAAATAAACGATCAAACTGCAATGGAACAATATTTTGCAAACCATTCTAATAATATTTATGGTGCTTTATGGTTTAATAATAGTCAAATTGCAAGCCAGACTGTACCATTTCAGTACAACATTAGATTAGATAGTGAAAATGTAAACGACAATAATGAAACTACAAATAAAAATGGAGATTCTGAAATTTACCTAAAAGAGAATTTTGCTTCAATTCAGGTAAGTCACATAAATTTATTATTATTGTTTTATATTTATTGTTTTATATTTATAATTATTTTTTTAATTTTTATATAGGTTGCAGTAGATCAAGCTATTTTCGAATATTATGGCATTAATAAAACATTGATAGTTTCAGGTCAACGTTATCCAGACCCATATACTAAAACATGGCAAAAATGGATTGATGGTAGAAATGGTATACTTAAAGACGCAGGTGCCGTTTTTGTAACTGCCGCATTCTTTATATTCGGGTTCCGTCTTGTCACTGATCTTGTTATTGAAAAAGAGACTAAAATTCGTGAAGGTATGAAGATGATGGGTTTAAATGATCTCGCTTACTTTTTTAGTTGGATCATTACAATTTTATCAACCTCGTTACCAGTGGACCTTATTATTGTTATAATTTTCAAAGGCTCACAAGTTATTTACTCAACATCATGGGGGTTGGTTATTGCTACATTCGTACTTTATCTTTTAACTCTTTTGTTCTTGGCTTTTATCTTTGCAATTTTCTTTGACAAATCAAAGTTCTGTGGTCTCATCTCGATCATAATTATTTTAATAATCAATATAGCTGGTGTCTTTATTGCTAAAGGTGACTTTGATCCAAAAATTAAACTGTTTCTTTCAATTTTTTCACCTATTGCATTTTCTTGTTCCTTCTATACCATGGTAGTCAGAGATATTCCTGAAGAAGTCCTTTCAGTTAACTTTAATAACTTAGTAACAGAGCAACAAGCCATTTATATGCTAATTTTAGATCTTGTTATTTATTTATTTTTAATATGGTATTTACAAGAGGTTGTTCCAACAGAATATGGTATTTATTAGGTTATAAAATTATAATTATATTATATTTATTATATACTAATATTTTTTATGATATAGGAACTAAAAAGCCATTTTATTTTATATTTTCTCCAAAATATTGGTGTAGTATCGCCTCAAATAGCAATATTTTTGATATTGAATCAACTTATCCAAATGATGATGTCGAATTAATTCCAAATGATATTAAAAGCAAAGTTACAATTTCAATTAGAAATTTAAGAAAAGAATTTTCTACTGGTGATGGCTTAAGGGTTGCTGTTAATGACTTATATTTAGATATGTATGAAAATCAAATCCATGCATTTTTAGGTCCAAATGGTAGTGGTAAATCAACAACTATTGGAATGTTGACTGGTTTAATTTCTCCAACAAGTGGTACTGCATTAGTTCAAGGTAATGATATTGGTTCACAAATGTCAAAAGTTAGAAGATCTTTAGGTGTTTGCTTACAACAAGATATTATTTGGAATCAACTATCAGTTTTAGAACATTTAAAAATATATGCATCATTGAAAGGTATAACAAGGAATGTAGAAAAAGAAGCTGAAAAAATGGCAATAGAAGTTGGCCTAGGTGAAAAGATTCATACCCCAGCAGGTTCATTATCTGGTGGTCAAAAAAGAAAATTATGTTTAGGAATAGCCTTCATTGGTCGAAGCTCAGTTGTATTTCTTGATGAATGTACTTCAGGTAAGAAAATTTTAATATTTTTTCACTAAATTATAATTATATATTAATATAAATTGTTTTTATTCATTCAAATAGGTATGGATCCATTAAGTCGTCGTAGTGTTTGGGACTTTTTACTTAAATATAAAAAAGGTAGAACTATTATTTTAACAACTCACTTTATGGATGAAGCTGATTTCTTGGGTGATAGAATTGCAATTATTTCTTATGGTAAATTACGTTGTGATGGTTCCAGTCTATATTTGAAAAATAAATTTGGTTGTGGTTATTTATTAACATGTAGTAAAGAAATTGATAATGTAGATCATTTTAGTACTTCAAAAGTTACAGAATTTGTTCATCGATATATTCCAGAGGCTAATATTTTATCTGATGCTGGTACAGAGTTAAGCTACCGTCTTCCAACCTCATCATTACCCGTATTTTCACAATTTTTCGAAGATTTTGACGAACAACTATCTTTGTTTGGTATAACAACTTATGGTATTTCAGTCACAACAATGGAAGAAGTTTTCTTAAGAATTGGTCAAGAATCAAACTCTGGTAATGCTGGAGATATCTATAAGAATATAAATAGTAACACTAATAATGAAGGTGAGGGTAGTCCATTACTAAAAAATGGAATTTCAACACCATCAAGTGGTATCAGTGCTGGTCAACAAATTAAAGGTCTTTTAATTAAGCGTATTCTTACCTCAATTAAAGATTGGAAGTCTCTCTTTTTAACCATTATTATTCCATTGGTATGCATTATTTGTTCAATTATTATTTATACTGTTATGGATAGTGCACAAGCCTTTTATAATGATGTTACAACACCATTAACAATGTCTTTAGCTTCTTTTGGTTCTAATAATGTCGTTCCAATACAGGATATTAGTCTAGAAGATTTTAATACTCTCAGTTCAAGTCCTTTCTTTAACCAATTTAAATATGTTAACCAATCAATTATTTTTAAAAACTATTTAATCGAAAATAATATAAATAGTGCTGGTGCAATAAATGTTACAACCCAATTAGCCCAAAATAATAGTGTAGTTGGATACAATTCATTTTATAATAAGAAATACCTTCATTCAATACCAATTCATATTAATTTAATTAATAGTGCATTATTGGAACACTCTACCGGTATTAAGATTCAAGTTACGAGTATGCCATTCCAGCATGTTCTTAGTCTGTTTGATTTATCTGTTGAAGGTCTTAATATTTCATCAATTCTTTATTTCAATATGGTAATGTTGGCTGGGTTAGCTCTTATGGTGGCTTCTTTTGCTGGCAGCATTGCTCAAGAGCGTACCAATCGTGTAAAAAGATTACTATACATCTCAGGTTGCAAAAAATATGTTTATTGGCTATCTAATCTCATTTGGGATTATATATTTGCTTTTATTGTAGTACTTGCAACAGCTATTATTTTAGCAATTGTCAAAGAAGATTTTAAAGAACAATTTGGTATCTTTTTCTTGGGCTTAATTTTATATTGTGTGGCCACAATTCCCCTTGGTTATCTTTTATCATATCGTTTTACTACCCATGGTAAAGCAACAGGTGCAATTGCTGCAATTCTTTTCTCCAAAGCTATTGTATTTATGATTGTTTCATTAAATATTCGTATGCAAGTTTTGGTTAATTTAAATGAAGGTGCTCAAACTGCTGCTGATGTTTGTGATATAGTGTTTTCAATTGTCTCCCCATTATATGCATATAGTAGAATTCTTGCATTAGTTAGCAAATTCCCAGGAACCACTCGTTTAGGCTCATGGAAAATCGATAACTATTGGTCCTTAGGTTATGGTGCCACCCCAATTATAATTCTCATTGGCCATTGTATTGTTTGGACAACTTGGATTCTTCTTTTAGATTATTCTCCAGAAATCAAAGGTTACTTTAAGAATCCTAAAAACTTAAAATCACCACAACCACCAGAAAATGAAGACTCTGACGTTAGTAATGAAAGATCGAGAATCCATACAGTCTCTGATGAAATCGTTAAAGTAGACTCACTACACAAATTATTCAAAGGTAAAGGAAAGAATGGTGATAAAATTGCTGTCCATAACACTAGTTTAGGTATTCCACGTGGCCAAACCTTTGGTTTACTTGGTTTAAATGGTGCTGGTAAGACCACTACTCTCTCAATGCTTTGTGGTGATATCATGCCAACCTCTGGCCAAGTTTCGATAAATGGTCATGATTTAATAAGCGATCGTTCAAAAGCTTTACAAAATATTTCAATGTGTCCTCAATTTGATGCTCTTGTGGGTTTATTATCAGCCCGAGAACATCTTTACCTCTATTGTAGAATTAAAGGTGTTTCAGAAAATAATATTAAAAATGTTGTCGAATCATTCATTCATATGATGGATATGAATCGTATTGCAAACAGTAGCTGTGGTGGCTATTCAGGAGGTAATAAAAGAAAACTATCATTATCAATAGCAATGTTGGGTGATCCATCAGTCGTTTTCTTGGATGAAGCAAGGTAAGCAAAAATAAATAAAGTACTATTAAATTATCTTTATACGAATCTAACAAATATTTATTTTTATACAGTACTGGTTGCGATGCTGTTGTACGTCGTTATATTTGGAATGTTGTAAGTGAATTAAGTAAAGGACGTTCTATTATTATTACAACTCACTCAATGGAAGAATGTCAAGGTATTATTATTTTAAATATTTATTATAATTTTAAAAGTGCAATAATATTAAGATACTAATTAACTAATTTAACCTTTTAAAATAGCACTTTGCTCAAGAGTAACAATTATGAAAGATGGTAAATTTACATGTTTGGGATCAATTCAACATGTAAAGAATAAATTTGGCGCAGGTTATTCATTTGATGTCAAATTCAAGAGAGAACATTTTGAAAATGGTGTTGAAACCGTTTTACATTATTTCCCAAATGCTAGTCTTTTAGATCAACACGATCTAATTGCATCATTCGAGTTACCAAATGAAGCTTCAAACCCTGTTAAAGTTTCTAGAATCTTTAATACTCTTCAAAACGATTTAGGATCAATTTTAGATGACTATTCAGTTTCACAAACCTCTTTAGAACAAGTCTTCTTAAAATTAACAGGTGCAAGCTATGATGATAGATTGAATCAAAATGCTCAGAATCATGATCAATTATAATAATAACTTTAAAAATTGTAGTAGTTATTAATTATAATTATTTATTTAATCAATAAACTAAATTAAATATATATGTTTATTTTTTTTTTTTTAAATTTTTATTTTTTTTTTTTTTTTTTTGAAATTGATTTTTTCGTTGTTTTTATTTTTTTAATTTTTTTTTTTAATTTTTTTTTTATTTATCACAACATAACAAAATGGTCATGGTATGCAGTTATTTTAAATCATAACACCCCAATTTTATTTTTAGGTTAATTAAACTAATTCTTTTTATTATAGAAACTTTTCACTTACCCAGAAAACAACCGTGCTTTCAAAAGCTTAATCGCCGCTAAATACGCCGGTGTTGAAATTGAAGTATGTAATCTGCTGTTAATTTTTTTATATATTTAAATATTAATTATTTATTTTTTTATCATAAAATTAGGTCCCAGCCTTCAACTTCCAAACTGACAGAGACACTGAATGGTTCAAAGCTCTTGCTCCATTAAAGAAAGTCCCAGTCTTATCAACTGAACAAGGTCCAATCTTTGAATCAAATGCCATGGCCAGATATGTTGCTCGTTTAGGTGGTAACTTATATGGTACTGATGCCTACACCGCTGGTGTCAATGACCAATGGATCGACTATGCCTCAAATGAAATCGACCCAATTAACTACGGTTGGACTTATTCAATCCTCGGTTTCGTTGATTTCAACTCAAAAGAAACCCAAAAAGCCAAAGAAAACATGAAAAAAGCCCTCGGTTTCTTAAATGAACAATTATTAAACAAATCATTCTTAACTGGTGCCCGTGTCCAATTAGCTGATGTTATTGTCTTCTGTTCATTAATCAACTTCTACAAAATGGTTTTAGACCCAGCCTTCCGTCAACCATTCGGTAATGTTAACAGATGGTTCATCACCATGTTAAACCAACCAAACGTTAAATCCGTCGTTGGTACTGTTGCCCTCTGTGAAAAAATGATGGCCTACGTTCCACCAAAGAAAGAAGAAAAACCAAAAGCTGAAAAACCAAAAGCTGAAGAAAAACCAAAAGCCTCAGAAGAAGAAGAAGTTGAAAAACCAAAAAAGAAAAACCCATTAGATGAATTACCAGCTTCAACTTTCTCATTAGATGAATTCAAACGTACTTATTCAAACAATGAAGTCTCCATGTCAATTCCATGGTTCCACCAAAACTTTGATTCCAACGGTTTCTCAGTCTACTACTGTGAATACAAATACAACGACGAATTAGGTCCACTCTTCATGACCTGCAATTTAATCGGTGGTTTCTTCCAACGTTTAGATTCATTACACAAATATGGTTTCGCCAGCATGATCGTCTTCGGTAAAGACTTAGGTGGTGGTAAAATCGAAAACCAATCAGTTTCTGGTATCTGGGTCTTCCGTGGTAACGAAATCCCATTCGAAATGAAAGATTGTGATGATTCATTAGTCTATGAATGGAAAAAATTAGATGTTGTTGCTGACAAACAATTAATCGACAACTACTTAGCCTGGGAAGGTTTCACCGACAAAAACTTCTTACAAGGTAAATTATACAAATAAACAATTTATCTTTTTTTTAATCATTAAAAAAAAAAACAAAAAAAAAAACAAAAAAACAATTTATTCTCTTTTTATTTGTTTTATTTAAATTTATAATTAAATCTTTTTTTATTTTTAATTAATTTTTAAATTAAATTTTATAATCTGAAATTTCATAATGCACAATTGATTGTGTGTGGTCATAAAATTTTTTTTTTTTTTATAAATTATTTATTTTATTTTAAAATCAATACAAGTGAGGCCAACTATTTCAAAAGAAATAAATTAACAATTTAATATATTTTAAGATATTATTCTTTTAATTTATTTTTTGTTTTTTGTATTTTTTTTTTTATTTTTTGTTTTTATTTTTTTTTTTTAAAAAAATAAAAAAAAAATTAATTTTTTTTTTTAATTTTTATTTTATAATTTTAATTAAAAATCAAAAAAAAATTTATAAATCAAAAAAATGATTATAAAAGATAACACATTTAGGAAACATGGTATAGAAATAATATCATATGATAATAAAGAAGTTAAATTAAATTCTAAAGGTTATCATTTATCAATTCATCCATTTTTTTTTAGAAATAAATTAAGTGTTCACACATCATCATCATCCACATCATCAACCCCATTATCAACATCAACTGTAAATTCACCAAAACCAACACCATTTTATGTAGATGATGCAGGTATTGCAAAGCAATTAAATCAATCTATATTTGATATTTTATCAAGATCAAGATATTTATCTACATTAAATCACGAAAATTTGGCTGAATTTATTTCATCTGAACCTTCAAAAAAGCATCATGGTAAATATAACTAATCAAAATAATAATCAAATATTATAAAAAGTTTAACTAATATAAAAATATAAATATGAATATACAGATCAAATATTTTTAATTTCAGAAGATTATAATAATTCATTATTAAAAGAAATTGAAAAACAAGCAAAAAACCAAACACCAATTCCAGAGCATACAGTTGGTAGATATGCATATCAGATTTTGAAAGCATTATCATATCTTCATAGTAAAGATTTAACACATAGAAGTTTATCGTTAGAAAATATTAAATTAGATTCAAATGTATGTATATATTGTACTTTATTTGTTAACATATCCAATATTGATATTTATATAATAAAACTAACACTTTGCAATTACTATTAAATACAGGGACAAATAAAATTAACAAATTATGGGTTATATTTTTTATCGGATGAAGGAGAAAATGTTTCATTTCCAATTGGTAATGCATTTTATTTATCACCAGAGACTATATTAAGGGGTGCAAAAGGATCATCAAATACTAAAACAGATATTTGGGCATTGGGTTGCATATTATTGCAATTAATGTTGGGTTATTGTATTTGGGAAGATAGAGATCCAGTTGTAGTTATAAATAGGTTATTATATTTATCAGGTATTTCATCAACCGAAAAATTTAATTTTAAAAAAAAATTATTTGTCAATATAAACGAAAAGGAATCAGAATCAGAAGAATCAGAAGATTCAGAAGAGGAAATAGAACAGGAATTAAATGAAGAAGAAGAAAATGATTCATCAAGAATTAAACTTAATAATAAACAATTAATAAAGAAATTTTTAGAATCACTAAAAGAAATTAATAAAGAAAATTTATTAGGCATTGGATTAAATGACATTAGTGAAGAGTTTTTAGAAGTTATTGAACATTGTTTAATTGCAAATCCAAGTGAAAGACCTGATTCAGAGACTCTATTAGATCATCCATATTTCAATGAATATAAAAAAGAAGATCCATATCAATTAGACTATATCGTAAAGCCATATACAAAGTCATTTCAATTACCAGATTCACTTGAAGGCCTTACAGTTGCAGATCTAGAGAAATATAGTGCTTCAATATCATTAAACTCAAATAGTAATAGTAGTATTGGTGACAATGACGTCTTTTCAGGTTCAGAAATTTATTATTTATGGAAATTAATGGGAGGTGATATTGAAAAGGAGTTAGTAAATGGAGGTTACGCAAAACCATCACCATCTGTACATAAATTACCATTATTTGTACCAATTAAAGCATCATTAACCGAATCTTCAAATAGCGTATTAAATTTTAATAGTAATAATAATTTGTTATCATTAGAACAACAACAACAATCATTTCAATTACAACACAATAATAACCAACCCAATATAATTAAATCCAAAAACTCAACTCTATATACCAATGAATTTTGTTTGGTTGGGTTAAAGCCATTATTTATAAAAATTATTGACTCACTTAAAAATTATAAAAAAGAAGCATTCGAAGAGGAATCTCAAAAACTTTTTGAAGCAGGTAGTGGTCAAATACCAAATGTTCAATATCAAATACTTTTAATTAGAGAGTTTCATAAACTTTTGTACCAATACCAATATGACGATCCTACATTGTCACAACCAAAGATTTACAGATTAGCAAAATCATATATTCCATCAGTACTTCGTGGTGATATTTGGTCTGCAATTTTAGGTGTAAATGAAAGTGAAGCCGTGCAGCTATACAATTCAATCAACTTGGATCAAAAAGGACCAAACGATAAGCAATTTGAATTAGATATTCCAAGATGTCATCAATATCATCCATTATTATCCTCCAAACAAGGTCATCAGCAGTTATTCAAGATTTTAAAGGCATGGTCATTATTAAATGTAGAAAAGGGATGTTATTGGCAAGGTTTGGACAATGTAGCAACACCATTCTTAGTTCATCATTTCTTTAGTGAGGCTATGGCATTCGCTTCATTAAAAGCATTTGTAGATAAATATTTAAAAATTCTTTATGTACCAAACAATTTTGCAGCTCTTTCCGAAATTATGTTAAATTATCAACAATTAATGGCATATCACGACCCTGAATTATTAATTCATTTAATTGATATTCAGTTAGAACCAAATCTTTATGCAATTCCATGGTTTATTACAGTTTTCGCACGTATGTATAATATAATATAATATTTTTTAATAAATTAATTAAATAATAATATTTATTTTTTAAATTATTAGATGTATTACCAATTGATAAATTAGAAATACTATGGGACTCCATTTTATTATGTCCTTCATCATTACCAAATTTCATTGCAGTTTCAATGTTAACTCAATTTAGAAATTCAATTTTAAAAATGAGTTTCGAAAATGGTATTAAAATGATATCAATGATACCATCGATCAATGTACACCAATGTGTCAAAGATGCATTACATATGTTTAATATCACACCTCTTAGTACAACAGTCAATAAATTTGTTTCAAATGCTGATCAAGAGTTATGGTGGATGCAAGAGGTACCAATAGAAAAAAGAAAATTAGAATTATTCCCAAGAATTGATATCCACGATTTAATTAACGATACCTTAAAAATAATTATTGATATTAGACCACAAAATATGTAAGTACAAGAAATGCATAAAAATCATAATAATAATAGTATTTTTTCTTTTACAAATTTATTAATATTTAAATAATTCATTAGGTTTCAACAGCTTTATTATCCAAATTCAATAAATATTAACCCAAAGAATTCGAAATTACAACAGCAAATGGAACAGTATAAAGGTCAACCTATCGTAATAATAGCGCCAAAAGACAGTGGTGTGGAGTTTTGTAATCAATTAATTCATTGGAATTTCCCATATGTTTCAATGTTAAATGGAGGCATGGATGCTTTGGAGCATGGTGCTTTCAGTCTATTAAAATCCCAAACATCAAAATAAATAAAAATATTTGTGGTGGGAATTCACCACACAAAACCCATTTTTTTTTATTTTTATTTTTTTTTATTTTTGTTCATTATTTTTTATTATTATAAAAAATAAAATGATTCTCAATCATGAAAAAAGATATTTATTAAAAAAAAATTTATGATTGGTTGGTACAAGCAATGATTGAAAATATTTAAAAAATAAAAAATAAAAAAAAAATGAAAAATGAAAAATGAAAAAAAAATAAAAAAATATTTTTAAAAATCTAAGGACTCTAAAAAAAACAATACATTTTTTTTTATATGGTGATATTATAAAAATTTTTTTTTTTTTTTAAAAGGTAAGGTTTTTTCTTTCTTTATTTCCTTATTTCTATTTTTTTTTTTTTTTTGGTTTTTTTTTTTTTTTTTTTTTTTTGGTTTTTTTTTTTTTTTTTTTTTTTTTTTTTATTTTTTGTTGGTTTTTAAAGACAAAATTGAACGGAATATTATTTTATCAATTTTGATTATAATTTCAATTATTATATTTATAATATTTAATTATCTTTATATTCTTGATTTTTTTTTTGTTTTAATGGTCTAAAACTAAATTCAGTGGGTAAAGTGGAGGATGGAGATGTATTTATAGAAGGAGATGTTGTGTTTGTGTTTGTGGTAGTGGTAGTAGTGGTATTAGTGGTGGTGGTGGAAGAGGTAGTGGGATTATAGTGGGGTTGAGGTGATAAATGTGGTTGATGGTGATTCTGGGGATAAAAATTTGAATCAAAGTTATTATTATTATTAAAATAAAATGTAATGTTATTGTTATTAGATGATGAAATATTGTTGATATTGTTGTTAATATAGTTAGCAGTATTGGAATTATTGATGGTTGGAGAAATAATATTATTTGAGATATTAAAATCATTGTTAGGGGAAATATTAGTTGATAAAAAGTTATTATTATAATTAATATTATTATAGTTATTAATGTTATCATAGTTATTGAAAAAGTTATTATTTATACCTTGATTGTTATTATAGTTTATAAATCTTTTGTTAAAATTTGAATTACTACCACTATAAAAATGAGAACTACTAGCATTATTTTCAAAATCATTACTAATATTTGAATAAAATGAAGGGTTTAGGTTATTGGATGGTGGAGAAGAGCTATGGGGTAATACAGGTGATGAGGACTCTTGTAGGTTTTGAGGACTGGATAAAAGTAAATTTTCAAAGGATATTGGTGATGAGCATGGTGAGTTTGGTGGTTGATTCAATAATCTATTTTGGTTTAAAGTTAGAATTAATGTTTGCTGAGATGGGTTTAGCATTTCTTCTTTCTTTTGGGGTCGGACACGGACGGGTCGAGAAGATTGA